AGAAAGAAAGAAAGAAAGAGTTGCAATTAAAGCATTCTCTTTTCATGTCCTATATTTAATGATAGAGCACTATACATTGTGGGAAAGAAAATGGAATCAGCAGAGATATCTCTGACTGTGCCTCTTCCTTCTCTCCCTTCCATTACCCCAACTCCAACTCTGCCCAGAGTCCAGGGATTATAACCTCCCAAACCAGATTACAGTAATATACATATATACATATAGTGAATGTGCATATATGTACATAGGAACATATATATTATATACATGCACATAGACACAGAAAACAGTAAATATTTGTGCCAAAATTGAATTTTACAGTCATTTGTATACTCAGAATAATACCACTTTCAGGAAGAATGTCTCAGTGCACTGAGAATACCTTAGGTTTCTTCACTCCTGTTTTAAAAACTTTTTAGAGACCAGAGATAAAGACATGTGGCTTAATGACATCTTTTTAGTGATTGCCAACTCACCTCACAAATGGTGGTGTAAGTATCATTCTGCATAGAAAAACAAAAAAGACTACTTAAAATCTCGAAAGTTGTAAATAATTTTAGTGACACTGAGCTGTACATTCATTTCAAATTAATTTATTGCCCCACCATTGATAAACAACCAAAAAGCCAACAAAAACAAAGGAGCCCAGAGCAGAACCTCCTGTCTAGGCAGGACACTGTATAAACAGCTCTAAAAATTAAGCTGTTTGCATCACTGGAAAAACGGGAGAATATGATGTCCACCAGAAAAATCTCAGCAGGCTGAGGTAATCCGTGGTGCACCAAGTTAGAGAGTGAAGGAGTATTTGCAAATGCCAAAGGTAAACAGAACAGGAAATGAAACCACCGATAGCTCTTGCTAGCAAAGGACAGCAGATTCCTCTGCCTGTGCTGGCCCCTGCAGCAGCCACACGGCCTCCTGGATTGTTTCCCAGCAACAAATGGTGCTTTCCATTCATTCCTTCAGCAAATGTTGACTGAGCAGCTGCTATATGCCCCGCACTATATTCAGTGAGATAACAATCTAAAAAAGACGGAGAGCATCCTGCCCCAACAGAGCTTACATGTTGGGATAAAAGAGATAAACACACAATAGACAAATTATTTGTCTGAGTTGCAATTTCTGAGAAATATTTAATAGCTACTACGTCCAGCTAACATATGCTGCACCTTTTGGTAACTTTCATTCTGTGAGGCACTCAGTCACAAATGTGAGAGTGGGCATAAGGAACTGCTATAATAGAAGTTTGCAAGGACACACTATATAAGAAAAACTATGAATATGCTCTAAAAACTATGTATATAAAAAGAGGTTAAAGCATTATTTAAATCTCATGTTATAATTTAACTCATTAATAGAAAACGGCATTAGGATTCCCCAGCATTACCACAATTCTTATTGATTTAACAACCCTGACGTGAACAACCTAAATAAGGGAACCCACTTTTAAAAGGCAAAATTCTTAATCATGTGATCAGAGTAGTTACAGCATGACAGGCTCTATCTTTAGGAGAAAGATTCTCTTATTATCCTAAAATGGATAAGGAATGTAAAGTACCAAGGGGTTAAGTGCCTTAAATTACACACTGAGTGACAAAAGCCAGGCTACATAATAAAATGAAAAATAAAGTATCTGGGGATGTATTTCCTACATAAAGTGGAATAAACCAGGTGTTTGTGGCCCTGAATTAGATACCTACCATATTTTCTACATAGAAACTTTGAACATGACCTACGACCCTGGTATCCAAAATGTGGTCTGGGAACCACCAGCATTTCAACAGTTGGGAGCTTGTTACAAGCGCAGCATCTCGGGGCCCACCCAAGACCTACTGAATCAGAATCAGCATTTTAATAAGATCCCAGATAATTGCACATTAAAATTTGAGAAGCATAGGCCTAGGAAATTTAACAAATACCAAACATTCCACTACAAGACATTTATAGTTTTGGAGCAATTGCGCATTCCTGGGTTCTGTGATTTGCAATAACCTTCCATGACCTCTAATTGCATTAAAAATGTTAATCTCAATCTCTTTTCCATTACTGTGTATTATCCAGGCTATCGGTTTTTCAGTTTTGTTTTGTTTTGTTTTGTTTTGTTTTGTCTTGGGGTCAAGTAAACTAGTTGAAAGCCAATGGAAATGCAAATGGGAATTCTCTTACACAACTTTCCTCTTGAAACAAACACCAGTATCAAAATAGAAACCTAATTAATACTTACACACTTTAAAGCACAGTTTTTCTGATCTACAGAGTTCCAAAAGTGACATCCTTGGATGCACTGCAAGAGACAATAACAGACAATGGTGAGTGATTGAAGAGATGTGACTTCTTCTTGTTACCTGAAAGTACAATGTAGTAACAAAAAGCATCACCCTGTGTTTTAGAAATAGAAATCTACCAAGAAACCTGAGGCCTCCAAAGGATCTGGAATTTTGGGATTCCAAACAGAGCTGTCATATCTACAGGTAGAACAAGGCTTGTGGCTCACTGCAGAGCAGCAGAGTTGCTGAGTGGAGTTAAGCCTGGCATGGGCAGGCCTAGAAGCCAGAGAACAGCCAACCTCCAGGGAAGACACTGTACACTGGGTAGCTGTCAAAGGTAAAGCCCAGGACAATGTGGCATTGAGTATATCCTGGGTCCCTAAGGTGTCCTCACATATCAAGCAAAACTCAAAACTGGAGATTCAACCAGATGGTAGCATGTCAAAACCTAAACAGGTAGACAGTTTGGGGGAGTAAGCTGCCTACTAGCAGCTTTCACCCCATAGCTGCCCTGAAAACCCTGAGTTGCCCTGACCTGCTATTGGACAGATTTGACACATTTTTTCTTACCTTACTTGATTCAGCTGTGCCTGTCTTGACCATTCCTTCCACAGGCCATGGTGGCACCTGGATTCCTTTTTCTTCCTGCTCAGTCTCCTTTGCCATCTCTTTTTGCCTCTCTCCACCCCTTTGGTGTTTGTGTTCTATCCTCAGCTTTTTCTCCCCTCACTCTTCTAGTTCTCCTGGAGCGAGTTCATCCCCTACCTCAGCTTCAAGTGATCTCGATGTTGATATCCCCCAAACTTCTAACTGCAGCTGAGGCTCCTTCCTGAGCCCCAGACCCAGATATCCACTGGTTCATTAGATGTCTCCATTGAAGTTCCTACAAGCACTTCAAATTCATCATGTGGAATTCCATTCCTCACTTTCCACCGTTAAATTTGCTCTTTCTCTTGTGTTTCCCATTAACATGCTACATTCTCCTGAGTTGTCCGAGCCAGGAACCAGGGTGTCTTCTCTCACCCCCCTCTCCCCTCTCATGGAAAACCCATCACCAAGTCCTATTGACTTATCTGGTCATTAACTAAAATCCATCTGGATTCATCACTCACTGCCTCAATTTTCTGCTTTGCCATTTACCACTTGCCAAAAACCTTAGGGGGGACCCCTCTTGTTCCCACATTTGGAGTGACTTTTTAAAAAAAAAAAAAAAAAACCTGGCCACACTCTTCTCTTACCTAAAATTCTATATGTCTCTCCATCACCTTGTGAGGTAAGACCAACTTAGCAAGCATAGCAGACAAAGCCCTTCATGATCTGGCTCCATGTAACTTGGCAATTGGTCTTCCACCTCCCTACCCTCTATACATGTACCCCGTTTTCCAAGCAAGCTGAAATACTCAGTTTCCTTCACAACTTAGGCTACTTCACACCTTTGTGACACAAAGGGCTTTCTTGACACAAAGGGCCTTCTCTGATCAATATGCCTTTTCCCATCTAGTCCATCTGGAAAACGCTTCCTCTTTCTAGTTTTAATTTGAAGGCTTTGCAGGCAAGTGAGGTGCCTTTTACTCTTGTGTATTCTCTCTTCACTCCTCACCCACACCACAATTCTGGTTCTGATGATGCTGCCTGGCCCTAATTTTATGCATATGTCTATCTCTCTGGTTTCAAGTATGTATCTCAAAAAGGTTGAGAGTCCTTTTAAACAGAGGCCCTATTTTTTTCATTGTTAAATTTCTAGTTCCTGGCACAGTGCCTTGTGCATACTTATACCTTAAGTCTTACTTATACTAAACACTTGGTAAACAAAGAAATACATGTGCAGAACAGTAATAAAACCATACAATGGAACTGTTAGAAGAAATATTAGAGATGATCTCAAATAACACATAATAAAACTAAATCTCAGAAAAATTAAGTAATTTGTCCAAAGCCACACAGTTATATAGAGACAAAATCATGCACTTGGATTGGTCCTGTGCTGTTTCCACTTCCACACACTTCATTTTTATATAAATTTGGACTTCTCATTATTTTCAATTGGTCTTCTTCCAGCAAGGATAAATGAGATTTTACTTAGCAATTCTTACTGTGATAAAACTTGATCATTGTCCCTTCATTATCAACACAAACATTGTAAAATTCTTGACAATTGAAGAAATTACTTACCGGTTCACTCAGATTATGTGGTGTGCCAAGGTCAAGCTGCTGGCCCTGAAATGAAGAAGGAGGTAGTAAACACCAGCTATCAGTACTGGGTTCCGTGTAACTAACACACCTTTTTAAAAAGCTTCCTGAAATAACGTTCTCCTCAGCATTTTGTAACGTAAAGTAAGGAGCCAAATGTTTTAAAGGCATTAAATTCATCACTACCAGACAAATTATAGATATAACACAAATTATAGATACAATGTCTAAGAACTTTGCAGGAACCAAAAAGGTGGGAGTAAGAGTGTGGCTATAGAGAGAGAGTCTCACGCAGAATTAAATAATCCTGCGGCATTGGTCAGTTAATCTAGTCAAAGGACTCCTAGGTTAGTGATGAATTGTGTTCAGATTTTTCCTTTTTAAAATTAAGAGCAGAGAGAAAATGCAAATTGGCATAAATAAAACATAAGATTACTCTTTTATTGCTCACATACAAATTTTAAGAACTTTTTTATACTGGAGGAAAATAAAAGAAATGGGAACTAAGGACAAAGATCTATAAATTGCTCATTATCTCTCTGGTCATAATTTGAATAGAGTCCTTCATAAACAAGACAGTTTATAAAGGATGACAATACTGGGCCATCACATAATCAGATAAGTACCCACATAGTGTTCCATGCTTGGTAGAGAGAAGAGAGCTGCATTCTGTCACTGAGCTCACCGAGCTCACTGAGCATGCTCCTCCTTTCCATCCATTTGGCTCTTCACTCCATCCTCAGCACCTAGAACACTGCCTGATAGAAATAGGTGTTCAATAAATACTGATATGCTAAAGGAGTAAATCCACTAATTCCAAGTGGTTTCCCACATAAGGATGCTTCAGAAGTCCCTTGGAAACATTATCCGATGGTTTAATATTGTGTGGGTTGACTTGAAAAGTAATCAGAATCAAGAACCAAAGAACAAATGTTGCCTATTTTTTTCTTTAATTTGAAGCATGAGTGAGGATTCCTTCAAACTCCATTCCCTAACTGGTCATATTTGTAGGAAAAGAAGAAGGATGATTATTTGCTTTTGTTTTTAGATAATAAACATGTAGATACTAAGAATTCTATCTGTTGATGAATTTTGCAACCAAGTGCTTAATAGTACTTTGTTTTCATGATTTTGTTCAAAAGGTGGTTGAATCACAATCAAATAAAAATCAGGTGAGAGACAATAAGTTCAAAATGGAATCTTTTCCTACCCCTTCAGAAATGCATGTTAGCTCATAAAAGCAAAAGGGTGGATGCTGGGTAGTTTTTGTCTTCCATTTTAAACAGTAGGAGAGCAGAGATATTTCTTGATGATCATAGTCACATTGTAACAGTAGTGAGTCCTTCCGATGGCTCTTCTCAGGAGGAAATTTAACGGGCTAAGTGAAATGACCATCAAGTGGTCTTGCACAAGGTAGCCTCCACAGTCAGGTCTAAGAGTTTCTGATAAGGCAGATTTTGTCAACACTCTTCCTTAATCTCCACTCATTCCCCATTCTTCTCCTCACAATTACAATAGCTAACATTTATTGAAGTATTGCTGTGTTCCAGGCACTCTTACAGGTGTTTTACACTAAATCTGATTGAATCATCTCAGCAACCCTATAAGGTAGGTGCCATAATTAACCTCATTTTACAGCTGAGGCACAGGGAAGTTTAGTAAATTACCTGGATTAGGATTTGAAGGGGGCAGAGTGATTGACTCCAGAACCTGTGCTCTTAACCAGATGCCTTCCATAATCTCCTCCAAATCACATTTTTCATTTTGAACATTAGGATCCCCGCTGGTTTACCTTAGCTCCAACTGCTCCAATTATCTGCTTCCAAGAGTCAAATTCAGTCCCAGATCTCAAGCTTTCTTAACCTAATACCTACTTCTTGAGATAAGCTTTCCTATTCTGCCCACCTCAGCCAGAACAAATTTCATTCTGTACTTCCTGCCCTAATAAATGGAACAGAGCAGAATGATCTGTATTTTAATTTCACATGATATTTCCTCCCAATGTGATATTCTGAAAGTTACCTGTGCCATCTAAACTTAGTGTTCGCATCCAGGACATAAGTAGGATAATACTTAATTCATAAGCTTCTGTGAAGATTCAATTAAATGCATTAATTATTACAGTGCAGTGCAGGAACTTAGAAATGTATTAGGAGTGTTATGTCCCAACTTGCTATTAACAGCCTTTTGCATACATATCTTTGGTTAGTTATGCAATAATATCCTCAGAAAAATTTGATGTGTAAGATTAGAGGTATATTTTCTCTTTCAATTTTGACATTTAATAACCCATTCTTTTCTAGAAATTTATCCATTTACATCCAAACAACAATTCATGAAAACGGCAGTTTACTCATACTTTTTCCAACTATAAATGTTTTTATCTTTGCTAATTTGATAGAAGAAAAATTGATAATTTGCTTTTATTCTGCAATTCTGTGGTTGCTGTGAGGTTGCATATCTATCACATGCTTTTCAGCCATTTATTTTATATATATGTATGTATGTATGTCCAATACCTTTGGGAGTACAAGTTACATAAATTGTATAGCGGTGAAGTCTGAGATCTTAGTGCACCTGTCACCCAAGTAGTATACATTGTACCCAACATGTAGTTTTTCATCCCTCACTCCTCTCCTTCCCTCCCTCTTCTGAGTCTCCAAAGTCCATTATACCAGTCTCTATGCTTTTGTGTACCCATAGCTTAGCTACCACTTATAAGTGAGAATATGTTGTACTCGGTTTTCTATTCCTGGCCTAATAATGGCCTCCACAGAATAATGACCTCCGGCTCCATCCAAGTTGCTGCAAAGACATTATTTCATTCCTTTTTATGGCTGAATAGTATTCCATGGTGTGTATATATCACATTTTTTATCCACTCATTGGTTGATGGAAACTTACACTTCTTTTTTGAAGTGGCTGTTTATATTCTAAATTCATCTTACGTGCTTTTATGTGCATCAGGGATTTTTTTCTTCAAAAACGTTATTTATCATGTGTAATACTTTTTTCCACTTTTTGGCTTTGCTGTTATTGTATTCTGTTGTCATAAGAGTTTAAGTTTGAAAGTAGTCAAATTTATTGATAATTTCTTTTCTGGGAGTCTAAATTTTTTAATTAGGCTTTTTAAGGCATTTCCACTTCAAGATTACAGAAACAGTCACCCCTAATTTCTTCTAATATTTTTATGAGGTAAACTCTTGCTTTGTTTTGTTTCTGTTTGTATTTAAGTAAACTTTACTGTTTTTGGTTTTTAGAAACAGAGTCACCCAGGCTGGAACACTGTGGTATGATCACAGCTGACTGCAGCCTCGACCTCCCGGCTCAATCAATCCTCCCACCTCAGCCTCCTGAATAGCTGGGACTACAGGTGCACGCCACCAAGCCCAGCTAATTTTTGTATTTGTTGTAGAGATGGGAGTCTCACCATGTTGCCCAGGGTGGTCTCAAACTCCTGGGCTGAAGGGATCTGTCCGCCTCAGCCTCCCATAGTGCTGGAATTACAGGCATGAGCCATTGCACTCAATCAAAAGTCATACCCTTTTACAAAATATATCCTGAAATTTATTTGAATCTGGCAGTTATGTAGAATATGTAGAATAATTTTTTATTCAGTTATGTAGAATATACAGTTATGTAGAATAATTTTTTATTCTAAATGGATAGCAACTCATTGGTTTGAATTATCATCTTTATCATATTTTACATTCCTTTATGTACATAGTTTTTTTTTGTTGTATTCTGTTTTACTCATAGGTTTATTCCTGTATGAATAAAAACTATGTTAATTTGTGAATATCTTATAAAATGTCAGAATTATGATCTTATTATATTATTTTGTTTTAATGTTATATATTGATATATAAGACAAGTTTTCATGTCTGTACATTAATTTTTAAAAAATCTTCCAAATCCTATCATTTCTACTAGTCTTTAAGTTGATTTTCAGTTTATTTCTTTGGAACTTGAGATACAAATCAGAAATATATTGTCATCACCCTTTAATATTATAGAAACATGTCATGCTTGTAATAGCCTTTAACTGTCTATAGTGATAGAAACCTTGATACCTCAATATTTGATAACTTACTTTAGGGTATTGATTACATAATTTACTTCTTTTGTATTCCCAATTGCATCCACCACAGAGCTGAATATACATAGATACCTAGGAAAATGTATTGAATGGATTCCATTCAATAAATTGATATTGAATGAAATTTATTGAATGGAATTGATACTCCTGAGACATTCTCAATGTTAGTTCCTCAGTTGTTGCGATTTGTTAATTCAAAAGAAAAGGGGGGTTGTGATGTAATTCAGGAATGGGAAACCAAACATCGTATGTTCTCACTGATAAGTGGGAGCTAAGCTATGAGAACACAAAGGCATAAGAATGATACAATGGGCTTTGGGGACTAAGGGGAAAGAGTGGGAGCGGGGTGAGGGATAAAAGACTACAAACATGGTGCAGTCTATACATGGCTGATGGGTGCACCAAAATCTCACAGATCACCACTAAAGAATTTACTCATGTAACCAATTACCACCTGTTACCCCAATAACTTATGGAAACATTAAAAAAGGGTTTTGTTGCTAAAGAAGATGGGAAAATTATGATTAAACAAAGCCTTTAATATGTTATTGTGGCCTGTGAATCTACAAAAAGAGGGCATAGCAAAATACACTTCCACAAATTATTCAACCATGAATTCTTTTTTTTTCTCATAAAAGATCTCACAACACTAGTGTTCTGAAGAGCATTAATTATTTGTTGTTTTCTGCAGCACATGGCATCTAGAATTCAAAAAAAAATTTCAGTTAATACTTCCAACTAGTACATGTAGATCTCTGTTAACGTAAGCTAAAATTAATGTGAAATACCAATGCTCAAGCATAGAACTATGCTTTGTGCATTTTGGCCTGCAACTCTTAACATTTTTTTTTAGACAAGACATTCTTGTATGTGTGTGTGTCTGTGTGTGTGTGTGTGTTTAAGAAAACATGTCTCAATATCAAGAATCACCCAAAAAATTATAGATGACCTTCAGAGTAAATGCTCATGTTTTTAAAATGACGCAGAAAATATAATAAACTTGAGCACTTTGTATATCCTCTCCTGTGAACCATGGTTACATTCAATTGTACATTCACTTCACTTTTGTCCCTCCAGGCCTTATGTCGGAACGTGTAGTACTTTCACTGGTCAAATTGGCAGACCGTGTCTCTCTTGCTGTTGCCACACATCAGCTGTGCCTTTCTCTGTAGGTGGTGAACGGAAGGCAACTCAACAAAGGAACAAACTGTCTATTCCTACTGCCAAACCCTGAAAGCAAGGAGCCCACACAAAAAGATAAGAATAAATAAAACTACAGTAAAATAAAATGGAGACTGCAATATTGGAAACAACTAAAATCAGTTTCAGTAGCAGAGAAATTAACAAATAAATTATGGTGGTACATTCATATAATGGAATACTCTAAAGATATTAAAGATTCTGTTTCTAAAAACATTTTAGGGTCTAGGGGAAAACTCACAATATAATGTAATGAAAAAGCTGGATGCATAACTGTGTGTAAATTATAGATATATATGTACACATATATATATGAGGAAAAATACTAAGAGAAAATTCAATCTAAAGGTTACTAGGGGTGGAATTATACGTTTTTTATTCTTCTCTAGTTCTTTATCTTATAAATATTTTATTTAAAATGTATATTCTTATAGAAAAAAATTAAAATCTTTTTTAGAAAAGAAAATATTTAGTTTTCCATTTAGTAGTTGAAATATTTAGTAGTTCCATTCTTCCATTTTTATGTTTGGGTTACAAATATAAAAAACCAGAGCATGCAATTCTGTATTAAAAGCAATGAAGTCTTTGGCAAAGATTTATATAAAATACTAAACTTTTTTAAAAATGCTACTAACCATGGTAAGCCTAAGTAGTGTTTTAAACTACAGTTTAAATCAAAAGTGTATAAGCACAAGTTTCTTTTTTAATCTGTCACAGAATTCTACCTCCAACATTGTAGCATAATATAATGAGTACTATATTTAGTACTTGTATTATGTTTAAAAGTATGGCTGTAGATAGGGGCATATGTAAACTATCATGATATATTATTTGTCTTTAGACAGGAAGAGTGCATTTCTCTCTGTCTATAGAGTATTTGGTTTTTAAAGTTAATTCAGTAACTGTTTCAAGCACAACTAAATTACAACTGAAGAGATGGTACAATAGTTAGAGAAGGGATGACACCCAGAAATGAGAATGAAAGCATAAATTTCCATATAAAAAACTCACTAACTAAAATTACAAATGCACAAACAGAAATAAAGAAATGTACAAATAAGTATTGCTTTAAAATATAATATTATTTTACATGGCATCTGTATCTGCTTCCTTTTTCATCCAGCTTCCTACACAGCTGGAATTAGCAGGCATTATCCTATGGCCAAACCTATTTCATGTTTCAAGACAACTATTAATGACTTTGTAATAAATGAGTTTAAATAGAAATTTTCAAGTGTATAAAATTGGCAAAATTGATTCCATTTAAACTTCCTTTACCCAATCCTCCAGCCCAAAAAATATATGACCAGGTACCCTAAAGAAATAAAATAGCCGGCTTTATCTTCTGCGATTATAAGTGCTGCTAACTTATTTAAGAAAAACTAATCTATCTTGCGTTGTTGCTACCACTTCTCATAAGAAAACTCCTCATAAAGAGAAAACAATTATATCAGTTATAACAAGCTGAATTCTACATGTTCCAGTTCCTGCAAAGACAAATATTAGATTGTGAGACTTACCAGATTAGTTACAGACTTACCAGATTAGTTACACACGACTTTAGGCAGCTACTTAAAACTGTACACTGCACCACAGAAATCCATAGGCAGCCAAGAGTTGCAAAATTGACAAGTTTCGGAATAAGACAGTAAATGTTCTTCATCACTCCACCAATGGCAGATTTTTAGATGGCCGGTCTTCTAATTTTCTCCATTTTGCTGTATGAATTATTTGGGCTTCATCACTTCAATTGGAGGAGTAGCTGATGGATTTTGTTTTGTTTTGCTATATTAGGATATATTTGCCTTTTGAAATAACATTTAGCCTTTTTAGTTTAGACCTTTGAATCCTTGAAAGCTTGTAACAGTTCCATAAGAGTTATTTCATAATAGCTTCCTTTTACTCCCATAAAGAAAGTCACCCACTGATTAAAGGTTAGTTCTTAGAAGAGCACTTCACGTGGAAATTAAACAAAGAAAACGAATTGTATTTCAGCAAGGGTGTGACACATCCATAGTCTGAAACTGGAACATTTCAGTGGGTCGTCCACCACGTTACTTCTCTGAGCTCTTTTCAGCTCTGCAGGGAATTGGGTTTTGACCACGTATGCTTTAGCAAACAGTAGCACTACTATAATAAAGAATTATTGAAAAAATAGAGGCACCCAAATCAAGCAATGCAACTGAAAGAGAAAACAGAACTCAGAAGCCAAATACATATTTTTAAATTTAAGAGCAAACAAAGCTGAAATCAATAGAAAAATAGCCTGGGAGTGAGTTAAAAACAAGGAAGTTTGTTAGAGCACTCTCAGAACTTTACTACATATTAACTAAAATACTGCCTTATCAGGTCTATTGAGAAAGCTGAAACTAGTTACCAGAAACCTAAGATATGTTCAAGTGTCTGCCTTGAGAAGGAAACATTGTACAAGATTTCTTTCCTTCCTTCCTTCCTTCCTTCCTTCCTTCCTTCCTTCCTTCCTTCCTTCCTTTTTTTCTTTCTTTCTTTCCTTCCTTCTTTCCTTCTTTCCTTCTTTCCTTCTTTCTTTCTTGTCTCCCTCTGTCCCCCAGGCTAGAGTGCAGTGGCGTGATCACGGCTCAATGCAACCCCTGCCTCCCAGGTTCAAGAGATTCTCCTGCCTCAGCCTCCAAGTAGCTGGGACTACCAGGCACACGCCACCACGTCAAGCTAAGTTTTGTATTTTTAGTAGAGACGAGGTTTCACCATGTTGGCCAGAATGGTCTCTATCTCTTCATCTCGTGATCCGCCCACCTCTGCCTCCCAAAGTGCTGTGATTACAGGCGTGAGTCACCGCGGTACACCAGGCCAACCTCCTTGTTTGCTTAAATAAATTATACTAAATGTAACTCAAACTTTTCTTAATGATATAAGGTTCTCATTATGAGTAACACATGCATGAGATTTTGTTTTGAGCTGAACGTCTTTTTGATTGGATTTTTGTTTGTTTTAATTTTTATGGGTACATAGTAGGTGCATGTATTTATGGGGCACAGGAGATGTTCTGAAACATCCACTTGCGATGTGAAATGAGCACATCATGAGGAATGGGGTGTCCATCCCCTCAAGCATTTATCCACTGAGTTGCAAACAATCCAAGTATGCTCTAAGTCATTTTAATATGTACAGTTATTATTGACTATAGTCACCCGTTGTGCTATCAAAGAGTAGGTCTTATTTACTCTTTGTGCATTTTTTGTACCCATTAACTGTCCCCATCTCTCATTCCCCACTCCACCCACCACTACCCTTCCCAGCCTCTGGCAACCATCCTTATACTCTCTTTGTCCATGAATTCAATTGTTTTGATTTTTAGATCCCACAAAAAAGTGAAAACATGCAGTGTTTGCCTTTCGGTGCCTAGCTCAATTCACTTAACGTAATAATCTGCAGTTCCATCCATGTTGTTGGAAATGACTGAATATGGCTGAGTAGTTCTCCGTTGTGTATATGTACTACGTTTTCTTTATCCATTCATCTATTGATGCACACTTAGGTTGCTTCCAAATCTTAGCTATTGTAAACAGTGCTGCAATAAACATTGGCATGCAGGTATTTCTTTGATATACTGATTTTCCTTCTTTTAGGCATATACCCAGCAGTAGAATTGCTAGATCATACAGTAGCTTAATTTTTAGTTTTTTGAGGAACCTCCAAACTGTTCTCCATAGTGGTTGTATTAATTTACATTCTCATCAAAAATGTACAAGGGTTTCCTTTTCTCCACATCGCCACCAGCATTTGTTATAGCCTGTCTTTTGGATATAAGGCACTTTAACTGGGTAAGATGATATCCCATTGTAGTTTTGATTTGCATTTTCCGATGATTAATGATGTTAAACGCTTTTCATATGCCTGTTTGTCATTCGTATGTCTTCTTTTGAGAAATGTCTATTCAAATCTTTTGCCTATCCTTTGATTGGATCATTAGATTTTTTCCTATAGAGTTGGTTGATGTCCTTATTTATTCTGGTTATTAATCCCTTGTCTGATGGGTAGTTTGCAAATATTTTCTCCCATTCTGTGGATTTTCTCTTTACTTTGTTAATTGTATCCTTTGCTGTACAGAAGATTTTTAACTTGATGTGATCTCGTCTGTCCATTTTTGCTTTGGTTGCCTGTGCTTGTTGGGACTGCTCAAGAAATTTTTGCCCCAACCAATGTTCTGGAGATTTCCCCAATGTTTTTTGTAGTAGTTTCACAGTTTGAGGTCTTAGATTTAAGTCTTTAGTCCATTTTGATTTGAATTTTGTATAAGGAGAGAGATAGGGGTCTAGTTTTGTTCCTTTGTATATGGATATCCAGTTTTCCCCACACCATTTATTGAAGAGACTGTCTTCTCCCCAGTGTATGTTCTTGGCATCTTTGTCAAAAATGAGTTTACTGTAGGTGTGTGGATTTGTTTCTGGGTTCCCTAGTCTGTTTCATTGGTCTATGTGTCTATTTTTATGCCAGTACCATGCTGTTTTGGTTACTATAGCTCTGTAGTATAATTTGAAGTCAGGTAATGTAATACCTCCCATTTTGTTCTTTTGCTTAGGATAGCTTTAGCTATTCTTGGTCTCTTGTGGTTCAATATAAATCTTAGGACAGTTTTTTCTATTTCTGTTAAGAATGTCATTGGTATTTTGATAGGGTTTGCATTGAATCTGTAGATTGCTTTGGGGAGTATGGACATTTTAACAATATTGACTTTTCCAATTAACGAACATGGAATGCTTTTCCATTTTTTGTGTGTCCTAATCAATGTCTTTAATCAGTGTTTTATAGTTTTCATTATAGAGATCTTTCACTTCTTTGGTTAATTCCTAGATACTTAATTTTATCTGTAGCTATTGTAAATGGAATTACTTTCTTGATTTCTTTTTCAGATTATTCACTCTTGACATATAGAAATGCTACTACTGATTTTTATATGTTAGTTTTGTATCCTGAAACTTTACTAAAATTGTTTATCAGTTTTACTACTTTTCTTGTGGAGTCTTCAGGTTTCTCAAAATGTAAGATATGTCATCTGTGAACAAGGATAATTTGACTTCCTCCTTTCCAATTTGGATGCCCTTAATATCTTTCTCTTGTCCGACTGCTCTAGGGGGGATGTCCAGTACTGTGTGGAATAACAGTGGTGAAGTGGGCATCTTTGTCATGTTCCAGACCATAGAGGAAAGGCTTTCAGTTTTTCCCCATTCAGTATAATACTAGTTGTGGGTAGGTTATATATGGCTTTCATTATGTTGAGGTATGTTCCTTCTATCCCCAGTTTTTTAATGGTTTTTATCATAAAAGGATGTTGAATTTTTTTTTTTTTTTTTTTTGAGACAGAGTCTTGAGTCTCACTCTGTGGCCCAGGCTGGAGTGCAGTGGTGCCATCTCTGCTCACTGCAAGCTCCACCTCCCTGGTTTACGCCATTCTCCTGCCTCAGCCTCCCAAGTAGCTGGGACTACAGGTGCCCGCCACCTTGCCCGGCTAGTTTTTTGTATTTTTTAGTAGAGACGGAGTTTCACCGTGTTAGCCAGAATGGTCTGGATCTCCTGACCTCATGAACCGCCCGCCTCGGCCTCCCAAAGTGCTGGGATTACAGGCTTGAGCCACCGCGCCCGGCCTGGGATGCTGAATTTTACCAAATCTTTTTCAGCATCAATTAAAATGATCATGTGCTTTTTATCCTTCATTCTTTTGATATGATGTAGCATACTGATTGATTTGTATATGTTGAATCATCCTTCCATACCAGGGATAAATCCCACTTGGTCATGATGAATGATCTTTCTCATGTATTGTTGAATTCATTTTGCTAGTATTTGGTTGCAGAATTTTGCATCAGTATTCATCAAAGATGGGCCTGTAGTTTTCTTTTTTGGTGTGTCTTTACCTGGTTTTTGTATCAGGGAAATACTGACCTCATGGAATGAGTTTGGAAGTATTCCCTCCTGCTCTGTTTTTCAGAATAAGTTGAGTAGGATTGGTATTAGTTTTTCTTTAAATGTTTGCTAGAATTCAGCAGTGAAGCTATTAAGTCTCAGGCTTGTCTTTACTGGGAGACTTTTATTATAGCTTCAATGTCATTACTTGTTATTGGTCTGCTCAGGTTTTGGATTTCTTCCTGGTTCAATCCTGGCAGGTTATATGTATCTAGGAACTTGTCCATTGCATCTATATGTTTCCATTTGTGAGCATGTAGTTGCTCGTAGTAGCCACTAATGATCCTTGGAAAACCTGCAGATATCAGTTGTGATGTCTCTTTTTTCATTCTGATTTTATTTATTTTGATCTTCTTTCTTTTTTTCTTAAACTGGCTAAAGGTTTGACAATTTTGTTTAACTTTTCAAAAAAACTTGTTTCATTGATTTTTCTGTTTTTTCCGTTTTTTTCTGCTCTGATCTTTATTATTTCTTTTCTACTACTAATTCTGGGTTTGGCTTGCTCTTGCTTTTCTAGTTCTTTAAAATGCATCATTAGATTGTTCATTTGACATTTTTCCTTTTTTTTTGATGTAGGCACTTAGAACTATAAAAATCTCTCTTAGTACGTCTTTTGCTGTATCCCATAGGTTTTGGTATATTGTGTTTTCATTATCATGTGTTTCAAGAAATTTTTCAATTTCCTTCTTCATTTCTTCATTGGCTCACTGATCATTCAGGAGC